AAAAGCGAAAAAGGAAATTCCGCGACATCTGCAGATGTCCAATACCTGCCAATCTTGTTCTCAAATGCACAACCCACGATGGGGTGAGAGCAATTTTGTGGATCAACTGCAAGAAAGTGGCAGCCGGAAGACGTCATATGAGGCGTCTTTGTGGAAGAAAATGCTCTAAGAGCAACTATTAAGCAACTTTAAAAAATGTAAGGTCAAGCATTATTGGTGGCCCGTCCTACCCTGAATACAATAAACCACGGATGGAAGCAGAATGAGATGCATGGCGCGTCCCAAAACAGTGAAGTGGTTGACCCTCTTCGTTTTATAGAACATGGAGTGATTCAGAACCTTCGATAGGAAATTTTCGGATTTTGCCCTATTGCGTATGCATACCCTACTGCAAGCATGGTCTATTAGGAATCAGAGTACGGCAAAATCGCTTGTCCAGCTTTACGCCAATGTAATGGGTTGATGCAAAATTAATGCGGATTTTTTTCGCGCCTTCTTTCTTCGAAAAGATTTGCGTTTTATTATTATTTTTTCATGAAATATTCTTCTCTCTTTCATTAACAGAAATGCTTATCGAAAATCATCCTCATATTCGCCACATATGCTCTACCACTTCGAGAAAGGTTGGAAGGCGGCAGAGTCATTTTGCGATCTCAACGAACTTTTCGGCGAGGGAACAATTAGCAAAAGCCAAGTTGAAAGATGGTTCAAGAGGTTCAAAACGCCATATTTACCGACCGAAGCTCCTACAGACTACCACTTCAATCAGTCGTTGAAAAACTGGCAAACGAACAAAATTTACGACGAGCTGGATGACTTGGTGGCCGATGTTAGAGCGTGGATCGTCTCCAAGAATCGTGACTTCTCCACCCGTGGAATCGACCGACTGCCAAGCAAATGGGAAGCATTCTTGAAGGATGGTGAATACGCTCCGGGGTAATTATTCAAATATGTTTTTGTTCCTTATCGTTTTCGCTGAAGAAAATTTGTTTAAAAAAATCGACAATAATTATGCATCATCCCAATAATAACTGTAAAACAATGAATTGAGGGCTTTTTTAGAAAAGAAGTCCACGAATAGAATGCCGTTATTGAATCCCGGCTTCACATTTCGAACTTATCCCTGTGAGCAGTAGACTTTAATTGTGAAGAATAAATACAAAAAATACAATAAATACAAAACAAAGTAATTCTGCAATGTCCAATGCGTACAGTAGCATAAACATATAACAGTAGCAATATAACAAATAATATTTATTCACTTTCCCCGTGAAGGTATTTAAAAGCATTTTACACTCGATTACGAGGTTTGCCCACCTATCTGTCCATTCCTAGCGCCTGGCAAGCGATTACCAAATGGCAGTCCATATGGGCGGCCATCGGCGTGAATGTGTTGAAGAACATCTTGGAGTTCTCGACGTGGATTATATTTATGGAAGCATGGAGTTGGGCATTTTCGCAGTGATAAATCCCAAGTCATAGCTTTTCTCGGCAAAATGACACCTTGAGGGAGAGCTTCTTTCAGCTTTTCGACAGTGCTTGTTAGCCTCATCATACTAGGCCGCAGCAGTCTCGCACCACATTTTGCGTAGAAGTTGCTGCTGATGTTCGCCATTCTCAGCGGAATTTCACAGCTCTGAGGTCCTTTTACCCTTTGTTGACAAACTCCACGGTTCTATCACGCAATAACAGAATTTTGGATATTTCTTCTCGCGTGGGGACCAAGTACGCTCAACTGAGGATCATAGCTAGGGGAGAATAAAGTCCAATCATTTTGAAAGACGTGGGAGCTCATAAGTGGGAATTGAAGCGCTGATAGGAGATGTGATTACGAATATGTTGATGACCAATTGCTCGCTTACCGCTTTCACTTTTCCTAGGAACGAAGTTGTAACGTTGAGCAAGTAATTTTTGCGCACGCTTATTGCGAAAATTATGCACGATTACAAGGGAATGATGTGTGATGTGACAACCGTGACCGATATCCGTGTCAAAAGAACGCATGAAGTATAGTCGCTTCGCGATTTGTAACATAGTTGTTCCTTAATTGAGCCCACTCCACGACTAATTTTGGCTCCGCTTCTTTTAACGAAAATGTCGCACAGATAGAATCTGAGAAGTGAGATTGCACGTCCCCAGTAGTGTGCGAATCCCCACCAAGCCTACATACGTGCGCTTCCAAACTATGAAGACAACCCTTGAAACCGCTGTTCCCAGTTCGGATAAGTGTTTCATGGTTCACATTGTTATACTATGTTTGCTGAAAATGCAGTGCATAATTTTTTCATCAAAAGCATGAACTATGCGCATTTTCATGAGAAATTTGGAAGATCGCACTCTCAAAGGCAAGAGGATCTTACATAACACTTCATCGTCCTGTCAGCTAACTTGCGATTCGTTGATCATGCTTAGTGAAAGCGCGTCACATCTCTAATACCCTTGACGATCTAATTTTTTATAGAGGCACAAGTTTGGGTGTGACATGAAGCTGATCATTCAAACTGCTGCATGCTGCTCGTCTTGGTCACTCTGCTAGCTGAAACAGTGATTTCCAAGAAGTCCATTTTCTTATAAGGAGGATACTCTATAATGTCACAAGTACTATCTGGATATGACGCCCGCCACGCTTCTTCATCCATCTGGATAATCGGAGCTGGTCCAAACGATTATTATATTATGGGGAATTATAACTGAACCTTCTCCGCGTGAACGCCACAACGCAGCCCGTCTCGAATTCGCTCGGAGGAACGGAGGACCCACAGGAATTGGGTAAGAAAATTTGGGGAATTTCGAGGCAGTTTCGTTATTATGATGATTGATTATTTTATTAAATACAAGGTTCGGGCTCAGACCCACTAAGTGAGCCCTAATGAGCCTTTACTGTGGCTAGAAGCGCTAGGTACGCAAGTGCAGAGGTCGCTTCACTTCCCTACTTCGAAAAGCGTTATTTAGACGCTAGGCGCTAAGAACTTTGACACGCTCCACCTGTTGCGACACGCTCCGCCCACCGCTCGATATCTTGTCTGCGTCGCTAACTTGATCTGCTATGCTCTCTCTACCTAGCATTTAGCGCTTAATAGTTGCTCTTAGAGCATTTTCTTCCACAAAGACGCCTCATATGACGTCGTCCGGCTGCTGCTTTCTTGCAGTTGATCCACGAAATTGCTCTCACCCCATCGTGGGTTGTGCATTTGAGAACAAGATTGGCAGGTACAGGACATCTGCAGATGTCGCGGAATTTCCTTTTTCGCTTTTTGGTTGCGTGGGAAGGGCAAGATTTTGCGTCGGCGTTCCACATAACACTGGTAGATTTTGTCGCAAAAATATAATAAACATCAATTAATTTTAGCAACGTTCAAAACGCACAAATTCCAGAGGTTCTACGATAGAACGACTCAAAAGATGTACCATGGGAATGAAGAACCGAATCACCAAATTCTGCTGGAGTGGACGTCAAGAGCATTTTTGAAACTATTTCTGAAGAAGAAATCCTCTATTGGAAAAAACGTGGCTCTGCCCCATCTTAAATCACTGCCTGGTGACCCATAATTTACGAAAGGAACGAAGGAAACGAAAGAGGCGTTGAAAATGAAAGAGCAAGCAAGTGAGGCCGAGCGGTGGCTATTCCACGTTTAATCACCGCTGGGAACACTTCGGCTCTTATCAGCAAATCATCATGCACACACAACACCTTTCAATTGACTTAAAATACGAGCGAAGACCGACGGCATGGCGTATACTCGACCGAAACCAAATGGCGCTGAGCGTATCTAGTTGTATCAGCGACAGCGAGCGATGCGTACCTTAAGCATTTTGAATGATTTCAATGAATTAAATACCAATGGTGTGAAAGGAATCCTGTTTTTGAGTGAAGAAAAAATTCCTCGACGCGGACTTCTCATCAATCAAAGAGTATTCGAACTAAGTCAGGCAATCATTTGAAAGGGCGATTCTTCTAATTTCTGAAACAGTTCACACCTTCTTGGCGATCAAGAAAGAAAAAAAAGAAAGTTATCGTCTTAAAAACACCAATAGCCGTATAAAAATTCGAGTTTCTCGATGTTTCCTCGAGTGTGGAAAATCTCACTGGATAGGGTATCTCTCAGAGCAACTCCAAAGATAGTAAAACTGCAACCGAAGCTCTTTCGAAGCACACAAAAAGTTCTTTAAGATCAAGTTTCGAAAAAAGTTATTAAGGTTTGAAACATAAGGGGAGGAAGGCAAATTTTCAAGAAAATCGCTCCACCGCGTGAGCCGCGCCGCAGCCGCGTGAGGAATCAGCTGCCCCTTTAAATTCGGTGACACTTTCATTGCTAGGTCCCATTCATCATTTTTCTCCGTTTCTGTCGATCATCGTTCGTGTAACGTATGTACACGTAAAGAATCGCCGCTGTTAAATAGGAGAATGCTTTGTTTTTCAAGTCACTGACTTCAACGTTGAGGTTCCGCCACGCGGAAATCATTAGCTTTGTGGTGCATCCGAGTACTGTTCCATAGTTCCAATAAATCCACCGAATGCTACAGAATTCGCTCTAGCGACACAATTCGCAGGTAGTTGGCCCGATTGCCCCGCCGAATGAAACGAGAGATAGATATCAAATACCGTTTGAGATTTATTAAAGAGCAAATTGCCATTCCAAGCTTATTTTCACTTCACAAATCACTGCTCAGCCATATATTGAGAAACAGCTCTCACTCACAAGGCGAGCGTGGTGCAGAATTGCTGCAAAATCAATTTTGTCGCCCTCATCAGCTTCGGCGAGTGGCAGGTCAGCACTTAGATGGATTATACTGTCGGATCGATTCTGGGCGCAAAGATTTGCATGAAACGTCGCCTAGAAACTTATTGAAGGGGTTGCTCCCGAATAAGTGACGCGAGTCCTACGCATGGCATTGCGTGCCACATTCAATGGTTCCACAATCACAGTCACAAGGCAGTGATTTAAGATGGGGCAGAGCCACGATTTTTCCAGTAGAGGATTTTTTATTCAGAAGTAGTTTCAAAAATGCTCTTGACGTCCACTCCAGCAGAATTTGGTGAACTTCCGTTCTTCATTTCCATGGCACATCTTTTGAGTCGTTCTATCGTAATACCTCTGGAATTGTGCGTTTTGAACGTTGCTAAAGTTACTTGGAGAGTGCGGGTGAAACATGCGTTGGCAATGTTCAACGTTTACACTTGTCTTGTTCGAGAGAACGCCCACTGAGAGCAGCCGGGCGCGCGGGCGCGGGGGGTGGCCCTCTAGGGTATTTGGAAGGTGAACACGAACACTGATGAGGGTGGCGGGAAGTGATAAGTACTGATAGGAAGCTGATAACGGGCGTCAGAATGCCGATGTCACCAACTTCGTTACGCCGTTCGCGTTGGCAGTGGATTGCTAGCACTCATGAATATTGTGTAGGGTAGGACTGGGACCCAAATGGTGAGCGAAGGAAAGTGATAGCAAATGATAAGGGCTGATAAAGGGCATCGGAATGCTAACGTCGTCAGTTTCGCAACGCCCTTTGCGTTGACCCTAAGATGTTCGCACTCATGAATATTATGTGGGGTGAGGCAGGGACCAAAAGGGTGATTGGAAGAAGGTGGTAGCAACTGATAAGAACTGATAAGGGGCGTCAAAGTGTGGATACCACCAGTTTCGTTGCGGCCTTCGCGGTGACATTGGAACCTTGGCTCTCACATGTGGTATAGGGGATGGGACGGGAACACGGATAGTGGGTGATCAAAAGTGATAACAACCGATAACGGTTGATAAGGAAGTTAGGATTTTGAGTACCGCTGATTTCGTTGTAGCCTTCGTGGTGACAGTAAATATTAGCTCCTACACGCTACAAGATGGTGAATGAGGGTGACAGAAAGGGGTATGAAAGGCAGGTGCACTAATAAAAATAGCGACATTGAATGTGCACTCGGTTAAACTGAACCAGATTCCTAGCACGGGAATATGTTCCATTCCCACCCTTTCATCTAAAGAAGCAAAGAAAGTTGAGCTGCTCCACTATCTGGACTTGGACTAATAGCGAATAAAATCATATTTCCAATTTCCATCATCGGTTGATGCTGATTGATTGGTTATATTTCACTTACACACCGATTCTTCAATTGTGGAAATTCTATAAACCGCTAAATCGCCCGAGCTCGATATCAATGCTAAATGTTTACGAAGTCATGATAAGTACATTTTCATTCCGCATGCTACTGCGCGCATTACGCGACAATCTTCAGCAAAATTGGACTTTGAAATTCATGTGACACATCTTCCAAACATCTTACTGTTAGTTTCTCAGCCACGTGACCTAATATTCTGCAAGTTGTCCAGTTTCACTAAAGCCCACCATGTGATGCGCGCGGTTGCGTGCGGAGCTAAACTGGTATATAATCGATACATGTATGCATCCATGACTTTGTAAGTAGGCAAACGAGAGCCAGGAAAGCATAACCACATGCCCATGGAGCTTGAAGTAGACTACCAACAATAGAACGATACTCTTTACCTAAAAATTGAACCATTATTTTCTCAATATTTCTCGAATTTTACCTATTGCACTAACCAGTAATTTCCATACAAAGAACATATGCTGCCAGATCGGCAGCTTCGTTACTGGCAGCGAGGAGAACGAACACCATAAATATTGTCGAATTCCACGGGAGTAACCCAGAGAAATCCGAAATCAGATCATCGAAGTAAATTCCGAACCGTAAATGGCCGTTTTCCTCCGTATCTGACATTGAAGGATTAGTCAGTTAACGAAGAGTGCTCAAGCCAATAAATATAAAACGAACTTTTTCATTCTACAGTTCAGTGCCAAGCAGCACTTCTAGAAAGGCTACTGAAAAATTCTGGACGTGTGACCCTCCCTTGGCACAGTGAAACCATGCGGGATTCAAGAAGCAGGAGACCTGAGCCTCTTCATGATTCTGTAATAACGCGCTCACGCATATCGATTGGTGTTTGCTATACATGTTCTGTTCTGATCACATTCCATTCCATCTATGAAACGCATGTGAGTCATACCATCCATGAGGAGCAGAGATCGGACCGCTAAGCGCCGAGGGTCTGTGCCCTTCCCAAATGGGCGTTACAGTGAGCTACGGCATTATCAGTCTGATGCGAAGGATTGCGACTTTGCGCAATGCAATAAGCAGTGAATAGTGAGCGGCTTGTCCTCACACATGCGTTATGGCGCTTTTCGTTCTGGCTCTCTCCTCCAGCTCCAGTGTATATTTCAACCGCCTGTTCGACAAGATCAAGAACCCCACCCTTGCGTGTTTTTGATGATTTCTTTCTTTATAACACTTCGCCGGTTTTTTGCGCTCCGACCTCTACATAATTTTTTCATTACAAGAAAGGCGCTACACTTGCTCTGAGCGTCATAGACTTGTTTCATCGGGAAGGTGCCTTTTGTGTTTTAGAAAAAAGAGAAGGTCTTGGGAAACACCCCTCATACTAAAGCGATCTCGAAGCTATGCAGGGGCGATGCTTTGTACAGGAATAATTCTATGGACCATGCCAAAAAGCCGAGCGCTGATTGCTACTGCACTGCTTTTGACCTGCGCTATGAGTAGTCCAAGTTCAAAATTGAATTCAATTTTTTTGCGAAAAATCTAACCCTTGCGTACCCTGGATATAACTGATTACGGTAACCTAACCATGCAGGCAATGGGTGCAGATCTTTTGATAAGTGCTCACCGGTCGCTGACAAATCCTCCAAGCAATCCACCTACAAGATACCCCAGTGAGTAGCTCATGTGTACGTGAGCGCGACTCCAATTATTGTCACACACTCGATTCCACTCCGTTACCACAGTCTTCTCCATCACCTATAACATCATCACAAATTCTATAAATAACAAAAAGGCATAGAAACAAAGATGAAGAAAATAGAAGTAGAAAATTAAATGCGATAGGAAATAAAAAATATAAACGAAAATAAAATATAGAAGAAAAGGAACGCCCAAGTAGGCCATCAAAATCAAACATACAGATTGATCGTACTCCCATTGCTCACATCTAACCACGGGGGCGTCATCAGCGTCACTGTAGTTGGCTGCCTGAAGATGAGCCTCTAATGAAGAATCACGGTTCAAAAATGACATCACTGTACCTGGGAAAGGGGAAGATGCTTGAGATGCACGTAATCCCGTTCGTAATAGTGACATTGGTCATGCCATTCCATATCCCTTTGTTTATTTTTCACCTAAAAAGTAACTCTTTACTACTTCGAACAAGTAGGCCAGGCCCTATTCTTGAATGTAGTACATTTTCTTGTAGAGCCTAAACCAATTGGTACAAGATACTGGGTTAAACGCACATTCCACGATTAATGTCGATGAGCCTTCTGCGATCAGGACAGAGATGTCTTAGATGGTAGAATATTGCGCTTTATTTGAAGGCGAGTACCAAGGAAACTAGCGCAGTGTCGCCCTGCTGGAGTTCTTTATAGCTGCTTATGCGGTCTGCGTTTCGCTTGACACTATACTATCTCGTCGTTCTTATTGGCGCGCGATGTTTTCATTGTAGCAGCATTATCCATTTAACGAGAAGGAGACGCAAAAATTCAGTATCTCCCTCTGACTCGTTTGCAACTAGCTTGCTCTTCTTCTTCCACTTTAAAGTGGAGCAACACATGTCTCGATCGCAGATAGCGCCTTCGATAAATTGGCCAGAACGCCTGTGATGAGTTGCTCCCATGACGTGATTAGTTGCTTCTATCTTTGTATCTTTCTTTAAGGTCACGCTGACGTGATCGTTGCGGCCGAATTTTTTAGGCTCTCTTACTTCTTAGAAAGCGTCTAGAAGTAAGAGAATTTTACCATAGGAAGCGTCCAGAAATTTATCAGATCCAATC